ACGTACGTACTACGTACGTACTACGTACGTACGTACTACGTACTACTACTCTCTACTCTACTCTCTCTACTCTACTCTACTCTCTCTCTCTCTCTCTCTCTCTCTCTCTCTCTCTCTCTCTCTCTCTCTCTCTCTCTCTCTCTATATATATATATATATATATATATATGTGTGTGTGTGTGTGTGTGTGTGTCAATTTTGTAATTTATTGCATTTGAGAATATTATATTATTGTAACATATTTTTTTATATACAAACATATGACATATCGCAAGTTGAGAATACACTTGTTCGAAATTTCAAAATTCAAACCATACAAAATTTAAAAGTCTAATAGGATATGTATTAGTAATAGTCTCTCCATATTCCATAATAAGTGAAAAAGTTTAGGAAGCTTCTTCAAACCACAAAAAATACTTTTGATTCTCAGAAATAGGTATAGCTAAGACATATGGAATTGTTCTTTTAATTTTAGGGGTTGAAAATAATCCCCATAACCTATTTAAACATTTTTGGGGGGCTCTAAATTACCCCTTTTTTCCTTTTGGGTATCTTAAAAGAAATAAAAAAAACATGTTCCTGGGTGCCCACCTAGGCACCTGCCTGGGTGCCCACCTAGCTCGCCTAGGCGCCCACCCAGGTACATCCGCCTGTGTTGGGCCGCTTGGGTCTGGGCGAGCGGTATTTTGGTCTAGGTCGCCTAGGCGGGCGCCTAGGCGTCGGGCAGACCGTTTTTTAAAACATTGCTAACAATAGCTAATCATTATGATTTTGATATTCATCAAATGGATGTAAATATGCATTCCTAAATGCAAAGTTGGAATAAGAAATCTACATTGACTCAACCTGAAGGCTTTGAATCTCAAGGTCAAGAAAACTAAGCATGTAGGTTAATTAAATCACTAGATGGTGTAAAACAATTTTCAAGATAGTATTTAATATTTAGACAAGCTCTTAGAGAATATGGGTTCAAGAATATATCTACCGTAGTTGTGTATATATACCCAAGACAATGGAGGTATTCTTTTAGTTTTGGCTTTGTATGTAGACAACATAGTTAAAACATACAGTAATGGAAAGGTCACTGAAGATTGTAAAAGGTGGTTGTCCTCCAAATTTAAGATGGAAGATAGGGGACAAGTTGACAATGTTTGCCATACTAAAATTACCATAAACAGAAGTAAAAGATTAATATATCTTAATAGAGAGCAATATACTCCTAAGTATTATAGAAGCTAAATATGGAGGGGTCTAAACTAATGGCCATCCTAACTGACAAAAATTGCAAAGTATCGAAGAAAATGTGTCCTAAAACTGACAAAGATAAGGGAATTATACAGAAGTATCCTTGAGCACAAACTATAGGGTCTCCTAACTACTTGAAGAATAGTGTTAGGGACATATAGCTTCTGCAGCTAGTTGATATATGACCAACTCTAGATTGGAGGATTGGAAATTTGTTAAGAGGATACCTCGATATCTTAAAGGAACACAGAGCTATGTCACTAAGTATCTAATACCTGAAGGTTATGGCGATGCCAACTTAGGAGGAGAAATTGATGAGTATAGATCCACATCAAGATGAGTGTTTACCTTTGATGGGGCATGTGTCTCATGGGGATAGTCAGAAGCAAAAGTGCACCTCACACTCCACTATGGAAGTGAGAGAGTGTGAGAGAAGGCAATGTATTATGCATCAAGAGAGAAGGCAATGTATTATGCATCAAGAGAGAAGGCAATATTCTTGAGGCATTTTCTGAGTGAAATGCCATTAACCAAGGTTGAGACTTAGCCTACAACCTATTGTTATAACCAAGAGACCACAGCCATTTCTAGACACCCAATGTCATGGATAACCAAAGCATATTAAGACAAAAATACCGCTTAAGAAGAGAATATGTAGAAAACAAAGCGGTAGAAGTTAGCTACTTTCCTAGCCAGTTAATAATCGTTGATCCACTAACAAGGTAATACTATAGACAAGTTTAAGGGGAGTGTAGCACCAATGGAAACGTAATGATGGATCATTATGATCTTAAAAACAAACTGGCGAGAATGGAAACTTAAATAATGAATATTTTGATAAAGAAATGAGCAGTGGAACAGTTAGTGAGATCAACACAAATAATAAGAAATTTTTTTGAAACTGTTCACAATATATTACTGATAGTGATATGAAATAAAATAAGATATTAAGGAAAAGTGCAGCAAAGATTTCAGAAAACACATCTATACTACCAGATTACGACAAAGTAACAGAACTCACGCATTGCGTCCCCACTTCTCTCTGGCTGCAACAACTTTTGCTTCAGTGCCATAGCCAGAGTTTTTTATATAAGAGGAAAACAACTCCTTTGATGGGTATGGGAGCTTGGAAAAGGTTTGCTTATCTTCTGAAAATATAAATCTCTGCTTTCTAAAATCAAAATAGATCTCTTCTGTATCCCTAGCCACTGAAGGGGAGGAGCCCTGCAGCTGTTTCATAGAAAAGTTCAATTTTCAACAGTTAACCTTGTATTTGCTGACTATTACTAGCAACAAATAAATCAATACATGCTTCATAAAATAAAAAATTGGATGAAATGGGCAAAAAGAATGACACTAGCAAAGTTATGTGGCATATCTACAATTCCCATAACATCAAAATAAAGAACTGCAAACAAATTCAATTATTTTGCAGAAGATTTTCCAAAACTTAAACATGAGACTTAAATGGAACATATTACTAAGTATGCAGCATCAATATTGTGCTCCATAAATCACCCCTAATTGAGAATTAAAGACATCATTCAAGAACCAGTGTAGGTTGCATACTCTCCTTCAAAAACAAGCAACTCAAACCCAACATGCCAAGCCAGTAACTCAAGTCATGGCTTGATGAGTCAACCATTCATGTCGGTACCATAAAGACTCAAGATATCTACTATAACAGAAAATACAAAACATTGCAAAAATTTGCAAATAATTAGGAGAATAATTCAAAAACAAGACAATAAAAGAACCCA